CAGGATATATAATGTAGATTGCGAATATTAGATAAGTGCATACATTATCTTAACAGGAAAACCCAGATGGAGAAGACCATATGAGGGACCAATGCACAGTTAAGATAACATTATAATGGATCTTAAATGGATCCAGGTGTGCACACTGGTTTCAACTGTTTCAAAATAGGATCTAGTGACAAGCTCTTGTGAATACTGTAATGAACCTTAGGGAATTTTTTACCATTTCTAGGATGACTTTGCCCTACAGAGTTATAGTTGGCTCAATTTTATTTACTCTTAGTTAATTCAGAAAAGCTCTTTAATAAATATATTTTCAGCTTATTTCATCTTCGGAACTGGCTGTGGTCAAATCTGCCAATTTACATCTGGCGTGGGAAAACAGAGGCCTCTAAGAGAGCATGGACAGACTTGATGTTGCGCTCTTCATACCCTTATAACCTGTCAGAGTGGAATCATAATGAAGTGAGAAGGTAAAGTTGATTGCCAAGGAGAATCCTTATTACCAATATCATTAAGGTTGTAATGCTGTCTGCAACAACTGTGCTTTAAATTCATTTGTAAATCATACAGAAATGCAGAAATTAGCATGTGCTTTCACCAGATGTGCTGTCTCCATTGTTCACACTACACTGACTGCCTGTTGAAGAAAGGGATTGTAATTTCTCCCACCCTCATTATCTGTACTTGTTTTACTCTAGTAAAATCTTGATTTATGGTCCTGAGTTTAATGTAATTTTGTATTATCCCATAATGAAACTAGCAAATAACATTTTCTAAATAGATTGAATAAGAATATTCACTTTTATGTATATCTACTTTTAAATTGAAAAGAACATCATAAAACAAACCAACATCTTTATTTATTTATTCATTGAGTTATCTGTCTGTTGTTTATGTAATATTAGTTAACCTTTATAATGCATACTGGACAAAGTTTGTTCTACGACTGACATCTTCACACCTGGTTGGTGACTTGGTGGTCTCAGAGTAAGATTCTCATATAAAGGATTCTGGGTTTGATCCCAAGATAAATCTCGGACATTTAAACTAGTTCGTGCTACGAGCCGCACAGTCAACAGCCTCGAAAATGAGGACACAGATGGTCCTCGAAAAGTCAGCGATTAATCAGCATCTAACACGGCTGATAGCCCGAGAAGACTTTATTAATGAAAGCTTCACATCATATACTTTGGAGTAGTGAACAGATTTTTAATTAGTTAACATGTGATTTTTTTAAGCCCAGGTAATACAGCTATTCTTGTAGGTCTTATAGTGTTATTGAGACCTCAAATTCTCTCAGAAGGTGCGTAATCTTGAATTATCTGAAAACTTGTTTTGGTTTTTTTTTTGCTTCATTTTTAAATTCCTTGATTACTGTAATTGAGTAGTGGTCCACAAGAAAAGTTAACTTTTTTTAGTCTTGGACTTAACTGAACCTGTAAGATTTGAGGTTTTCACAGCAGACGAAGGCAGTATGACCTCTGAAACGTTGGTAACCATCGACCAGACTACACAGCGCAACAACCCAGAAGACACACTTAACTGCGCCTGTCGATGAATATGCTTTTGATAGTTTATCATTACTGCACCATTTGATCAACTTTAATATATTAATGTTCTTGCACGATTAAGTTCCTAATCCTTTCCAAACCATTTACAGTAAAAATAATGAGATTATCAACATTTCATTTAAAGCCTGACAAAGTACATGTTTTTAGATTCAGGTTCTTACTGGAAGGTGCCACCCCAGATGAGCTTAAGCAACTTACTATGCAGCAGTTGCAGAACACACTACTCTTCAAAACAAAGCTAAGCAGACTTCAGGTAGGGTATTTAATTTAACATTTTATGATTTATTGGGCACAACTGGGATGTGTCGACTACAAGGAAATTCTGTAGAACAATGCTCAAGATGATAAAGATCCTGGACTGAATTTATTATTGCAAAACAGTGTTAGGTCTACTTGTTAAATAAAACTCATCCCCTTATAAACAGTGTTCTTATGCTTGAACTTGGTGATTCCAGCAGACCTGAACTTGTTCAGATGCTTCTTATACTATTCCAGTAGTCTATTTGCTTGATAATTAAATGTATAAATTGTGTAAGAAATATTTACCATAATATTGATGTCTGAATCAAAATTTTCAATAAAAGTACACTTTAAAATTCAGAATGAAGGAAAGGGAAGAATAAATGAACCAACAAGACTGTTATTAACAACCAATGAGTGTTGTTCAGAGGCACAATTAAGTTTAAAATACATGCTCGAAGATGAAAGGCATATGCCACGACAGTTTTTAAAAGTTTGCAATTTTGGCCTCACATAGATCCATAATTTCCTTGCAGGTACAAGCATTATTCAGTATTCTGTACTCAAACAGAACGTTATCATCGGCTAACCTATTGGACACACAGCTTCTCTCAGTTGCCTTTCAGTTGTCCCCAGCAAACTTACTGAGGTTCAATGTCAGTTCAACAGACTTCAGAATACTTACACCTCTCTTTGAGCAAAGGAAGTCTTCTTGCTCATTTATAACAGCTAAACAAGTAAGAACAAAGTTTATTCAGTAGCCAAAATATTTTATTAAAAAATGAAATGTTTCTTTGCAGTAAATATTCTGAAGAAACTTGATTATACAATTCAGTAATTAAAGCTTTACAGTATTGAGCATAGTATGGAGGGATAAACAATATAAACATATTAGATATCTGTGTAAAATTACTATACATATTTATCAATAACATGTTACATTTTTACAAGCTTTGTTTCACTAGTTGTGTTAAATATTCACAAATCCTCCCTTAAACTTGAGATAATCAACTGAATAGTTCCTTTATATCTCCCTCGAGGGATATGTTTGCAATTTATCAGAAATGATTCTGATTCACAGATCTTGGAATTACTAATTGCTCAGTCAGTGCTATCAGGGAGACTTGAGAGTGTGAAACCAGAAACATGGGGTAATGGAATTGAACATTTGGGCAAATTCATCTACGTTCTTCCAGCAAATACTTTGGAATCTTACGTGTTGTCTCCACCAACAGCTTTAGTGCAGTCTAGTATAGATTCTGATAGAATCACAGCAAAACAGGTGAGCATATAACTACAAATTTTGTGTAAATGACGAAGTAGCCTCTGCTTTCAATAATGTAAGACTGTGTTTCAAAGTACATTCCACGGCATGATTGAAATTAAGAGGTACTTTTTACTTTTGCAGTTTCTGAGAATGTCTCTTTCTGTTGCACAAAAGCTGTATGTAGTTTTAGACTTCTTGTTTACAGTGTTGCACTTAATACTGTATTTCAGAATAAAGATAAGTTGGGGTTTAGAATTAAGGAGCTTTTACAATATTTCTGTAAATGTGCAATTGTTTTGTGTGTGTGCTAGGCTCATATACTTACTGGAGGCAATGTCCTTAACTTGGAGAAACCAGACTTAATAATGGGTCAAAAGGGATTGCTGCGAGCTTTGTCAACTTCACAACTTGCATCTGCTAGAACTTTACCACAGAATATACTCTACCACCTTCTTGTAAATCTTCCACCTCACATGCCTTTGCAGGCAGCAGCTTTATTGCAGAAGTTGGAAAAGCTCATTGGTAAGGTAGACACTCAGTTACATCAATGGCAATACTCTTGATATTTAGGGGTGAAAATTAAATAAAATTATAGGTTTAAATTTGATTTATCTTTTTATTGATTTTGCTGTTTTATATGAGCACTATCACTTCTTAAAACAGTCATGGTAGGCCAATGCCAGTACAAGAGAAAATGGGAAATGGTTTAATCACTTGAAGTCTGACAGGTCCCTATAAAGATTTCTATTAGGACCAATAGCATTTGGTAAGTTTTAAAATAGAACTCAGACTAAAAATGCATTATTTATATGAACTGTACTGATTTTGAGGTAGGAATGACAAAGATTTGTATCAGGCATGTGTGTCAAACTTCTTCCTGATCAAAGATGTGATGTAATAGTATGTGTGTATGTGAGGATTTCTTTCTGATAGAAATACTTTTCTAAGTATGTATCTGAAATATTAATGTTAAAATTGTTTTATTCCTTTGGAACAACCATTGTAACTACAAAATTAGATAATAATACAAATTAGTCTGTATTTATGCTAAACTCATTTTAATGCCTTGTCGAATTAATGTCTTTCATCATTTTACAATTTGTTTGAAGGTGACAGCTGGACTTTGGAAAAAATATTATCAAACAAGGACCCAAACCAGTTTTTTGAAATGCTGTCCTCACGAACAGTGGCAGCAATTGTAACAAGTATAGGAAATATACAGGGGTTTGACGAGGCCATTAAAGGACTACCACAGAATACGGTAAGTGTTTGCTATATTTACTTGAAATGTGTATCTTTATGTAACTGCTGTCAGTAGCCAACTGTGTAACATTAAATGGTCAATGAATAATGATTTGGAAAGAATATTCATTCTCAGTTTAGCTATTAGGTCCTTAAATAACCTTTCTTTGCCATCATCATTTTGTATGTGATTTTTTTATTGTATACAGCCAAATTTAGTCAAAAATGCTGATATGATTTTAACCCAAAAACAAATTATTGGATATGGAAGGAAGTGGCTGTGACCTTATTTATGGTATTACTCCACCATTTGCCTGATAGACCTCAAGGAAATTACATAAAACTTTCCCAGGCTGGCTGGATTTGAACCCTGTACCTTCTGGAGAGGAAACAGAAGTGCCAACCATTTGTCCACAATGTTTGGTTACATGAAGCAGTCTAGTTATAAAATTGATTACTTTCATGAGAAACCATGTTTTTTCCTGTAGCTCTCAGTAATATTGACTGCTACGAGAAAGAAGCTGACAAATGAGCGTGGTATGTGGACTTCAGATATTCTTCTGTCTGGTGGTCCTAACGTTGCACTCCTTGGACTGACATGCAATGATATTTATGCTATGGAAGTTGTGGACTTTGTTTATATAATGGAGCAGTACAACAAAGTCAGGAAGGCTCTGAACAAGGTACAGACTTTTCATTCATCAAGCCATAAAAAATCATGAACTTTCATAATTCTATAAATTTATTAAATTTAGTATGAAACATGATAAAGGATGCCAGATTTCAGAACTGATTTGGGGGGTGGGGGGACTACACAAAGAACCAAATCTTATACTCTGTGTCAGGTCAGGTATCTGCAATTGAACATTCATGACACATGCATTCTGTTTGGTAGTCCCAAGTTTTAATTTCTTATCCAGTCAATCACATATTGTAAGCATATTTTGCATGTTGAAAGAGATGTGCATTCCAGTGATAAAATTATTATATTTAGTAATGAGTCTTTTGGAAATGTTATGTTCATGAAGTATGTAAACATCGTCTTCTTCTATGGCTCTCTGGTCCGTATTCGGTCCATGGCCTCCTCAATTCTCATCTTCCATTCGGTCCTATCCTCCGCTGCCTTCTTCAAATTTCTAATAAATAAATGTAATTTTTCAGCCTTTTCCCAAGGATCTTCAGTATTGTTCCCAAATGGCTTTGATGAATTATCTGGAGATGAAAGCAGGTTTATGGGACTTCAAGCATTCTCAACTTCTAGATTACTTAGAACCAGCTGAGATTGAAGCAATTGGTGGTAAGAATTTTAAGGTTAAATTTAACCATAATGGACAGTAATACAATTTGAAGTTCAAGCACACTTCAATGCACATAAGTGAACGTGCCCTATTTAAGAGTTATTTGGGTAATAAAAATTGAAATTGGATAAGTTTTCTCGAGTGTCATAGATCGTTAATATTAAAAGTAACTGATAATTATAAAGGTAAAGAAAGAAATGGATGCAGTACAAGAGTCAGCTAGGTGCCCACCCCATTTTCATACAACTTCTACTAATAAATACGTACATACAATTGATGATAATGGACTAGAGCAAGATGTGCCCATCTACTCCCAAAGATTAGCTACCAGAGGTCTTTGTTACTTGTCTCTGCTGTTGCATCAAGTTTCCAATTCAGCCCGACTTAATACAGTACTACACAAAGTATATTTACCTTTCTTTTGAGTTTGGTCTGTTATGTACATTACAAAACTGAATCTTTCCATCTTGTTTAGTAGTATCACCAATTATCTACTTCCTCTTGGTATTTTATGGGATATGTATGTTGAAAAATGTAACTGCATGGATTACTGGTTTCATACTCTTGTCCACTTCTTGGTGATTACTGTTCTTCTTGTTGTGGTTCTACAATCCATGAAGGACCTTGACCTCTTCACATATGGGAGGTTTCTTAATCTATTTAGACATTTGGCAGGACTCTTTGAACAAGTGATCAGCCAGTAACGAGGCCCCTATCTAAACAGGGTAGCACAGCACAGTACAGAAAGATGCGGACAGACATCTATACCTTGTGTGAGATTTGAACCCATGGTCCCAGTGTCTGTGTGATTTGAGATCCATGCCCCAGACTGTGTGGCAGCTGTGACTGGCAGATTACTTTTCAAGACTGTAAATTTTTTTTATTGCTAACAGGTTATATTTTGGCAACTTTACCAACCCAAGATGTTGAGAAGGCCATTAACGGTCAGCATATATTAGAAGCTATTGGCCAGTTGTCTCTGCCAGAACTCCTTGTAGCTACGAAGGAAATTAAGCCTTACAACTACGCACAGCTTCTATTGAAAAAACATGCAAGTATTAATTTTAGTACCCACTATATATATGTAAAATGCATGTTCAGATGTTAGTATAACACATTACATGTTAATCATGCCAACCTTGCTTATAATGAATGTTGCTATGATAGTACTGTGCTAATGTGCAGTTACAGTATAAAAGTTAATGAATGTTTGTATAGATGTGGGCAAATTGTTTGGCACATAAGTGACTGTTTCAAGAAGCTCATAACAGTGGCAGCAGAAGTCTTGGTCACGACATGCTCTAAACGTTTATCTCCGGTTTCAGTTCAGGTCCTGCTCTTCAGCCCATAGAGTGAGATATTATAAATAATAATTCTGTATGTATTTAAGATTTTTTTATAGACAGAGTATTGTTTCTTTTTCAAGTGGTTCACTTCTTGTGGTCAGGTACTTTCTGAATAACTAGCAGAATTACTATCAGTGTCTTAGAATTGGCATCACCCATATGTCAGTTTGTTTGCTGCTACCTTTACCAGCATTTTTCACAAAATCATTTATGATGTTAATTGACATTCTTTTTTCTTCTTTTTTTCCAGATTAAACCATGTCAGAATATGACTGAAATAAAAGTATTTGAACTTTCCAGTTTGGGAAATCTCATTCATTTCTTACCAGCAATTGACATTGTAAAGATAAATCCAATTTCCTTTAAACTGTTCATTGAGTCAATAGGCGATTCAACATCAAAAGTTGTCTGCGGTGCTGATTCATCTGCAAGATCAGCGTGGTATCAGATTATTCTAAAAACATTTGGGTAAGAATATTAAAAACATTACAGTATTGGTTAATGAACTGAATTTGTGTTTAATTTTCTTGTACAGAAATACTTATTAAGATTTTTAATAACCTTATTTTCTGATTTTCTGTAGACAGCCTTACAACTGGACCTCTTCAATAATAGCCAGTCTGGGCGACTTTCTGCTGGTTGTACCAAGTGATGAGTTGAAATCTGTTAATGTAGATAGTTGGAGAGATGCAGCAGACACTTTAACGGAACAAACATCCTACCATATGAAAATGGAGTGGCCTGGAATAGTTGATCAAATTCAATTCTACCAGGTAATTGAGGCATTGTATTCAGTAATTATACTTGCATCAATTTAGGTCCCATTATTTTTATTTATTTTGGAATTACTAACTTGATTCATTGTAATATGAGTGTTACAAAATGAAATCAGTGTGAGAAGCAGCAGGAGACTGTGTACTCGGATCATTGCCAGGTGGTTGAGATGAATGCAGAAAAAATTGTTGGTAGTTACCAATAAGATGTGAAAGTGTGTGCCAGAATTCTGGCACAGGAATGTTGCAGCAGCTGCATGAGGATCAATGGTGGTCTTAAACAACACAGATGTAAATGAATCAAACTTTCAGTGGAAGAATATCATAGATGATAACACTTGATCTATCCTGAAGATGGCTGACCTCTGGGATGTTGTACTGTGTAGTCTGGTAGATATTGACTGACATTTCAGAGGAGCTGACTGTCCGATAGGAAATTATTATTGTTGTGGAGTACTATGAATTCTGGCACATGAAAAGAGAAGCTGGTGTTGGCAATTGTGGTGGCAGTGTATTGTACCATTCCAGAGGGTTGTACCTTCCCAATTTTGTAGTGATGACTTTTACCTTTTCTGTGGCTGAAGGCCTGTCTTTCGAGGATGTAAAGGGACTGCTTCGCAGGTGGTCGTGAATGATCTGCCAGAAATATTTTGAATAATTTTACCAACACTGGTAGAAATGTGTAGGCTTCTTGTAGTGTGCCAGATTTAAGCTGTGGTTCCTATGCTGTAACTTATCGGAGCTGCAGTGTATTTTATGTATAAATGATCCCTTGCTTTTCTTTGGCATGTCTTCACAAAGATATACAAATAAAAGATGTAAACTGATTTTGAGGAATGAAACATTAAGTATGAGAAATTTATCTGTGTTCTATGAGATGTGAAGAGATACAGGTTATTACGCACTTACCTCTGATGTTCAGGCATAAATTCTACACCCCATGTATAATAATTATGTTCCATGTTCTCTTTTAATATTAATACTGTATAGTGTATATAATATGTCCCAGGACATATTATGAGAAGGAATGGATTAATGAGTGATATCACCGAAGGCCAGGTTGAAGGAAAGAGAGGACTAGGAAGAAGATTGATACAGCTAACCGACGACCTTAAACAAGGAAAGAAGATGACGTTCCAGGAATTAAAGCGAGAAGCCGAGAATAGGGACAACTGGAGAGCTCTTTTTGGGCAGAGCAATGGACCTGTCGTAAGACAGAACACTTAATAATAATTGTATATACTGTTCAGTGTATTATGTTCAAGTAAATTCTACCAAGTGTCTTTCATAGAGAGTTATGTACAATTGACGTGATAAATGATATTTAAAACTAAAATTCATGGCTTTCAGGCTTGTGCTGAGGTTCTTGAAGATTTTGAATCTTCTAACTATGTGGATGCAGTTCGTGGGCTTGCACGCTGGTATCTTGCAGCAGTTCAGAATCAATTGAACACTGTTGTCAGTGCCTCTCAACTTCTTGCATTGGCTTATCAGTCAAAGAAAGGGAAAGCTGAAAGAAAAATGGTTATTCCCAATTTCCCTATGGAGGTACAACATCCAGATAAAATTGTTAAAGTTTTAGAGCCAAATGAAGTTGAACAGCCAGTTAGTATGAAGAAGCCAGGAGCAGATCTGGAGTTTGGAACAGGTTACTTCTTGAATTAAAATACTATTATAAATATATTTTTTATTACAAATGCCACACCCCAAGTACTATTCATTATGGAAGAAAGAAGCATAAATAATTTTGTACAAGTAATAACAAACATCATTTAGCACTACACAGTAGAGAAGCATATCAAATGTTTAAAGCAGTTAAGGAAAAGCTCATGGCTAGTAACATTAATGAAGTTGTAAGATTTGAGGTTTTTACAGTGGTGAGTATGAAGATTTCTATCTTCTGGGTAGTCTGGTCGATGTTTACCAACGTTTCAGAGGTCGTACTGCCTCTGTCATCAGGTTGATGAATTAATTAATATTCATCGCCCTGATTACGGAGGCAGTATGACCTCTGAAACGTTGGTTAACATCGACCAGACTACACAGCGCAACAACCCAGAAGACAGAAATCTTCATTAATGAAGTTACATTATAATTGCATATAAAACCTATAATTTGTATGAACAACACTCCTTTTCTTTACAGATCAGTATGATACGTCTACTGTACAAGCAACTACATCAGACATACTTGCAGACTTTCATACAACATTCAAACCTCAGATTCATGCAACAATTTTAGAATCTAGCAGTACTACACTTTCAAAAGAGACTGAAGCAGTTTATAATGCTATTTCAGAAGAAAGTAGGAAGTTTCCAGGTACTACTTCAGCAAAGAATTCTTCTGAAACTGTACTGCCTAATGAACCAAAATCTACGACTCTTCAGACCTCAACTGTAGCTTGGCATCAGAATGATGAAACGTTAAATGTTCATGTAATTAAAATCTTGGAGGAAGTGAGCACAACTACAACTGCTGACACAGAAGTTGGTACGCACAGACCTATGCAAGCGTCAACTCCAGCAACAGAGAATAGTAGTTCGCCAAGCAGAAAATTTCATGAAGTAAATAAGGTTACACACAGTTCATATCTGATTACTTTGAAGGGACTTGCAGAGACATCAACTCTTTCACTTAAGGATTCGTCAGAAAAGGCAACTGTTACACGCCCAACAACTGCAGTAGCTGTACTTAACGGTATTACAGCTGTACCAGTTTATGTAAATTCTACTGAAAAAAATGCTGAGCTATCAACAGTCCTCCCAATTAAATTTTCCAGTGATATTGAGAACAGAAATTTAGGACAAGAAATCAATTTGGAAAAATCTATTTCCCGTCAAGTAAAGGATGCAGATGTTTCTATGAAGATGGGTGACGAAATATCTATCTTCCCAAAGAGGTCTAGATCTGGGTATACAAAAGTCAAGAGACATGTTACAGTGGTAGACCAGAAAGGTAAGAAAATACTGAAACAAATATATTAAGAACACACATTTTCTAAGCATTCTGTACATACTGGGAGCTAAAAAGTTGCACACACTTTCTTGAAAATTATTTCCTGAAATGATTATATTTTTCATCTTTACACATTTCTGTGACAAACTATTTTGATATGGAAGATGGAAAGGACAGACATTATCTATTGTTTATACAGATTTCATATATTTCTGAAAGTATTTTCCTAGACAGATGATTTGAGAAAGATTTTGAACGTATCTACAGCAATTGAAATATTGCAACTTTTCTTTGTTAACCATGTTTAATGTATCTCTGCATCCACGTCTTATATTCTTTGTTTTTGTGATACTTGCTATTGATAGTGTATTAATTTATGAAATTCCTGATTTACCACAAAGATGAATGATTTTCCTGGAAAAATTTAGCAGCTCAGCTGGTCAAGAAATTACCCGCATTTTATAACTCCATCAGCATCTTATATGCCCTGCCCATAATATTAGGTGAATACTATACACTATACTGTATATGTATAACCTTTATCTCAGATCAAAAAGTCAGCCAGACGATTAATGGTAATGACAAGGTCGAAAAGTCAGGAGAAATCTTGAGAGATGTCGTGAGGACAAACGCTTTGGCTTCGCAGACCAAATCAGCAGGTGGACCAACTCACAGTCCTGTGACTGAAGGAACTTCTGTGCAGATAACAGAAAGAGGACACATGACCAGATACTGGCAGAAGGTATAGTCATAAGCCACGTACTTCATATCTTTGCAAAGTAAAACCATTACCATGACAGTTCAGCATTTAGCATTTTCATGATGCAGTGAAATGTTAGTACAGTGAACTCGTATAATATTTAAAATTGTATCATATGCTTTATTTTCCTGTACTAATATATCTATAAATATCTTTAAAAAAATAGTTTTGTTAGGAAATTAAATTTATCACAATCTCATTTAAACAAATAGAAACAAACTGTTGCAGAATGAGAGTAAGGAGAGAGCTTTCTTTTCAAATGGTCTTTACTTTTTTATTGGCTGCATCAATTGTAGATTTTCACATAGTAAAACATTTCTCATGTGAGGTTTAACTGGGATACTGGGAACGACCCGTTCTTCAAGTGCCTGAGCACTGCGGGTCCCAACTTTTCGTTGGCTCAATCTGTCGACATTCGGTAGGACTCCTTGGACGAGGGATTGGCCCATCGCAAGGCCTCTACCTGTACACAGGACAGCACAACACAGAAAAACATCCATGGCTTGAGTAGGATTTGAACCCACGGTCCCAGAGACCAAGTGGCACAAGGCCCACGCCTCAGACCGCTCGGCCGCTGCTGACCCCGTGAGGTTTAACAGGCTTTGCTATTGTTTGGATCAATGTTATGCTGTAAATACATTGTCAGATATTATTTTAAGTTATTAGAATATTAATATTAGATGCTTCTTATGGGTATCTGTAATGTAAGTAGCGCTACATCACAACTAAAGATCCTGTTTCATTACTTTCCCCTTTGCTGACTGCTCTGACTTTGCCATTTAAACCAACAGTCAGGAAGAAGCAGGTCATTTACAGGAAACTGAAATAGGCTGATCTTCATGATTGTCCTATAACTGGGGACACATTTCTCTCGTGTTGAATGTGGATATCTGCCTTTAGCCTTGCCAGAAAGGTAGAAAACAGGATGACCATCCATGCAAATATTAGCACCAGCAAAATCATCAACTTCCTTGCACAATGTGATGGAATATAAACCCACTGCCCTCAGTTGATCTGTTCGAGAAGTTCCTCCACTGATCTTGACTTCTACAATTTTTGTTGTGATTCTTGTTACGAAAAGGATTTTCTCTTTTCGCCTATTAGTCCCTTTGTTGGTCATTTGAAACAACCATTTCAGTAATAATTTATTTGAAGATTGTAATTTAATGAAAGTCAAACTTTCTGTCATTTTACTTGACGAATGAACCTTGTGTCAATAGGTGTCTTGTGACGCCATCAGAGCAGCGGGATTGTCTGCGGGCCTGGCTCTAGATGAGACGGATATTGAGCTTATGGGACATGAAGAACTGGAAATGTGTGTTGACTTTTTAGGGTCCTTGGAACTGGATAATAAAGTACAAAGAAAAATATGGAGTCTTGTAAACAAGGTTAGTATGTTCAATATTACATTTATTAGTTATATTTATTTACACTTACATATGCTATATAGTGTGATTAGTAGCTCAAGCATGAGAATGAAGTAATTCGTTTTTAATACTTCCATGACAACAATTATCTACAAAAAAACTGCACTTGTCGTTCATTCGTAAATAAACTGAAAATGTGGAACTGAGATTTCTGTTGGAAGTGCAGAGTTGAGCGTAAGGTACTTTACAGATAGTGTTGCACTTTTGTTACTGTGGAACTGGGACCACTATATCTGTATTTAACCTAATAAATAGCAAGGTAATTAAAGCTAAAACAGAACTGAAGCATAGTTTGATAGCTTCAGCCTTCCGTAATACTGTAATTTGTAGCATTGAATTATGTTTCCTTAGAACTTTACATCTGCTTTTCCTTCTAATTTAAGAGCTAAACTGTAGAAATCATATTACAGAGATGATTAGAAACAAATATATTCTTTCTGTGAAGAATACTTTCTACTTCTTCTATGGCTCTCTGGTCTGTATTCAGTCCATGGCCGCCTCAATTCTCCTCTTCCATTCGGTCCTATCCTTTGTTGCCTTCTGTTAGGTCCGTCTGTCCGAGGCTTTGATTGAGGTTTTGAAACATCTTCCTTTTTACGGTGCGAGGTTGTTAGCCTCGCGACCAACCCCCAACCTGGAGGACCAGGTAAGACAGGTACCCTGACCTCTCCCACTCGACCAATCTGACTAGGGAGGCTACCGCCAGCATAGCTCTTGGGGTCACTGAGGTACTCAAGTCCCACCACCATGACAAAGTGCAGGTACCATTAGTGAGGGAAGAATACTTTAATTTGAATAAATGAGTAGTTAACTGAAGCTGAAAACTTCTTTTATTTGTCCTTTGCCATTCTCATAGACTTGACCTTGTCATGTTTTCAAAAAGTAATATGCCGAAATATATTCATATACAAACTGACTTGTACTAACTTTAATTTGCTTTGCAGGACAAATTACTGGAAAACTTATCAGATTTAGGCAAACTGGTGAAAGTTCTTGATGTTGATGATGTTTCCAAAATTAACTTGAATTTGAGTTCACCCAATGCTCTGGATAACTTAGCTACTTTAAGTGAAATGGTTATGGACACGCACGTGGTAAGTATTGTTCGGAAAGTTAGTTTGTGTGTTTATTTGTATATTTAGATCAATGATGTTCAGCCAAACTCTCTATATAAGTAGACCCATTCAGAGGGGCATGAAGAAATACTTATGTATATTATACCTTAACTTTCTAATTATAAACTTATTAAAAAATAAACTCTTTCTGCTGCTTTACCTATTATTTAAGCTAACGAATTGCTTTTTTTGAATCGGATGAATTGCACAGAGGGCAATTCAGTCTTGAGCACTTTCATGCACGTTGCTGTATTTCTTCCATAGTTCAAAACAGTTTATATTGAGATTAATTGTCTTGATGGAAAGAACATTTTTCTCTCTATTTTGCTAAACATTTACATAGCTATTGAAGTAAGTTTTTCACGTTGACAACCTATGAAAGTCGATCCATCATAGTATACTCAGAAAATAATGGAACCAATCGGTTAAACATTTATTTGCTCCTGGTTTATTTTATATTGTTTTATATAGCTGCAGGAAGTAGGAATCCATTTCCTGAAGAGTAATCCAAACACGAAGAAATTGACGATGGAGACTACAGTAGCAATTGGCAGAATACTTTGTGATGTATTAGCAGTCTCTTCACAGAAGCTATACGATCTGTTAGAACAGTCGGTGTTTCTTCGGACATCGCCTATACTCGGAAGAATGAAGGACTGTCCTACGCACTGTCTGCACAAGTTTGCCTATTTGGCAACTAAAACTTCTGAATATGGCCCACTCGACACGTGGACAGCCGAAGATGTCACAACCTTAGGAGTTATACCAGCAGGTAAAATATTCTTGTAATAATTTTTAGGATGATTTTCTAAAGGTCTGTGGCAATGGTTTTTTTTTTTATCCAGCACACACCATTCAGCTTGGTGTACATTGGTGGTTAGCAGGATTCACGACCCATCAGTACATGGGTTCGATCTGGACTGCGACATTTATCGCTCCTGCTGTGACCCCCTTTTTGCGAGATGATGATGAAAGTGGAGTATTTGTTGGGATGCCACGGAAAAACTTCACAGCAAAGCATTTGCCAGGAATTAAAAGCTAATGTTTATTTTATAACAGGTGGTGACGGCGGTACGTCTATCGTAGTTTCAGCTCTACTCGTCCATTTTGGATCTGTACTATATTGACAAGACCACTTAGTCACTGTAAATGTTATGTTCTCTTGAAGATTTCTGTCTTATGGGTTCTTGTGCTGTGTAGTCTTGTCGATGTTTACTAACGTTTCAGAGGTCATACTGCCTCCATTATCAGGGCGATGAGTCACAGACAAGTTTATAGAAACTGATCAGATTCTTGAAATGGGAGAATGTTATCTGGTGGCATGTCAGAGTGATGACTAACGCACAAAATTAAATTTCAGGCCTCAGAGCAGAACAGTGGAGACAACTAAGCGCAACTGGGTACGGTAACAATCCATTGGTTGGTCTAAAGCCTTCCGCTATTAGATGTATTCCACCTGAAATTTTTAAGGTTAGTATGAAAAAACTGATAAACTACTACATTGCTTTATGGATGTTATGGAAAATGTGTCGAGTAAAGGTTGGAGAGAAGTTTAGTAAGATATTTGAATTTATGTAGTTTTTCTTGTGTTTTGATAAGTTACAGGAATAGGGAATAATTGCAGCATGTTTTAATTTCATATCAGCATTTTCTTTCCTCCTGATTTACTATTCAATCCCATCCTTCGATGATCACAGTACCAAAATACAGGTTGTGTACTAATTTTATGTAAATTTTTCAGAATCTTTTTCCTGAGGTCATTCTCAGTCAGAAATGTCTTATGGATATTGAAATTCAAGATAATTTGAATCTGACATCTTGTAGCATCAAAAATTCAATCCATGTAGTTCCTCCCCTCTGTAACTTGTATTCATATAACATGTTGGTGGGATTTGAGGGTTTTGTGGTAGTGAGTTCGAAGATGGCTCGTCTTCTGTAGCGCCGTGTAGTTTGGCAGAAATTTACCACCGTTTCAGAGGTCCTCGCTGCTTCCATCATGAGAGTAATATCACCCTCATGATGGCAGCAGGAAGACCTGATGTTGGTAACAAGCTAGAACAGTGGTCCCCAACCTTTTTGTGCCTACGGGCACATTTGAGAGTTTATGAGATCGTGGCGGGCACCAACCAATTAACAAAGCCAGATTTTCTTTTCTCTGGACACATAAGATATGGACACGAAATAATACGAAAAACAACACGACGTTTAATGATACAAGAAACCACGCAATCAAAAATACGTACTTTTATACGCACAATTATTATTACTCAAGTGGGAAGTTAGTGTGATGTTTGGCACTGCATTTCATCAGCCAGTTTTTCAAATTTGGGAGTGTAGGATGATGTTGCTGCTCGTAAGTAATCTTCAAGATGGGCGTTAGTAAGTCGAGATCTGTGCTTTGATTTTATTATGTTCATGGTCGAACGGCCTTCATTATTCAGTATAACCTCTTTCCGTAACAACACGGGCACCCAAGAAAAGCCTTGGCGGGCGCCATGGCGCCCGCAGGCACTGCATTGGGGACCACTGCTCTACAGTGCTACAGCCCTGAAGTCAGCCATCTCCACATTCCATGTTTTCCATACAAGGAAATCTGGGATTTGAAGGGGGGGGGGAGTTTGAGGTCCCATGACCAAAGTGGTCAATCCTGTAGTCAGGAAACTACTCATTCGAGTACTTCCTTCAACAAAATGTGGATTTTATATAAACATCAATGTATTTAAACACATTTTCCCATTGTATCCAATTTTTCTACTTGCCTATAGCTTTCTTACATGCAAGTTGTCGGTCCAAATGATTCTTCAGCGTTACTTAAATTGTTGCAGGAATTTGATGATGACCAATTGAAGTCATTGCCAACGTTAAGTGCTGCAGTGGTGTCAAAAGAGCAGCTCTCTTACCTCTCAGAATCACAGAAGTTATCATTAGCAAGAGTACAAAAAGAAGTACCAATCTTGAAACATTTAAAAGATCCCGACTGTAGCACAAAAGAAAATGGCAGAGTCAGGGGAAGTGCGTCGTTTAAGAACTTTAGCTTCCTAGTCGTAATTTCGTTAGCTGTGATATCTAGGTTTAGTGCCTAAATTGGTCCTGTGTAATATAGTTTTTGTAGTATATCATATTTATATTGTATAATATGTAAAATTCGCAAATTTTATATATATTTTCTATTAGTGTTATAATTATTTGTGATACTGTTTATTTTCTGAAAAGAATAAAAATGGCTTGTACAGAAATTTAATTCTTTTTGGTAACATGCTTCTCAGTGGCATAACTAGGTAACCTGTGTAATGGAAGGGGTTAAGTAATTAGTTGTTTAAAAATATTATTTCAATAAAAAATATTCGTAGTAACAGTTGGTAGGGGTTTACGTTCATAATTGTATCAGCTTTTTTATCCAAATAAATCTTTACCTAGTAAAAGTAAAGGTGGAAATAAAGGGTTGGGAAAGGGTTAAGTTTTCCTTGAAGGCATTTTGTTTTTAAACCATGTTTTTTTTTGGGGGGGGGTGCTTGAATAGTCTCTCTAACCTTGACCCGAAACATTTGTTAAAGGTTTGATTCTATGAAGTCTTCTAATTCTTTGTATACGTCCCTTAGTGCCAGCATTGAAATGTTCTATTGAAAATATTTCCATTATTTCATCTGATAACAAAAGCATCAGAATTCAGTGTGGCTGCAAGTTCGAGTGAAGTATTAAGTTGCAAGCGACTACCTCTTCATTTTGCACTTCTTATGACAAATATTCTATGTTCATTCTGAAAGTGGCCCATGAGAATTTCTGTAATAATGTAATAAGGAATAAAAGTTAGTCATACTGTTGTTACTTCAAACTAATTTGGTATAAATGCTGATGACCACAAATGATTATGGCCTCATTATGTGGAAATGAAGAGATTGGCGCAAATGGACGAAAATGGAGGACTGCATCAGATTAGTCAAAAGACTGATGACAAACAAACAAACAAACAAAAGGTTTTATTGGCTTCCTTATTAAGTTCAAATTCTTAATTATAGATAAATTATAACTTCAGAATTTTTATTTTCTTATTTATGATTATCTGCAGGCCTGATTTATTTTTGTAGTTTCAATTGTTTTTTTCCTAAGTGTTGCTAACTCTTGAGTATGTGCATGAGTTTTAAGAAACTTCTGTATTTTTAAACTAACAAAATATTTGGCGTTTATAAGAGCGATTGGGAGGGGGGAGTTTAAACTCCAAATCCCAACCTCTGTGGTCATGTCACTGTTGCTGCTTCATGTGCAGTCTCTTATGTTACTTATGCTACTAATACTATCTTCATCAGTACTCGAACCCAGGCCAATTTTCGTGTTTGCGACCTGGTTGCTACAGGCTCCTCGCCGAAACAAACAAATTTTGCTTTAGCGCCGTTCTTCTGCCATGCTTAGTTACCGATCTATAGGAAACATCCTCATCAGGAATCGAACCCAGGACAGTTTTTCGGTATCATGGCTTTTGTTCCTGTAACTTTCTCGCCTAAAGAAACAATGTGGTCATGGCGCTGTTCTCCTTTCGTTCATAGTTTCCGTGGAAAGAAGTCATCTTTCAATAATGAATTCTATGACACAGCACCAGTGATCATGAAGCCTATCTCACGGGGTAAAAAGCTGGATTATGCACACAGAAAAGTGAAGACAAACGCATAGATAGAGCGGATTATACTAAAGTATTCTGCGAACTGTTTCGGGTATTTATAAAACTGGTTATTATGAGAGAGTTGTGACCCTTTATCGAACAATTGTAAATACTGAGTGCAGGTTCTACTTTGGAGTTTCGATTGTTAATGAACCTTGTTTTCCGAGACTGACACAGGTTCCTACATGGTTCTGGAACAAACCACAAACATTACCAATACTGGAAGTGCAATAATGACTATATTAGCAATTCTTAGGAAATGTTGGTAAATAGTAGACATTGGCTACTGTTAAAATCCAGTTTAAATTGTGTTTTAGAAACAATGATTTTCAGGCCAGAAACACTAGTCGCCATAATAAATGTCCTATTCCAGACCACTGATTGACACAATTAATTCATATAAAATAATGATGCGCTTGTAATGAGTATTTTTTAGTTTAATTTTCATGCTTTCAAACATCTCATTTGCTGGACCGTATGAATTTAATTTCCTCTCTCAGTTATTATAAGACATGGGAATAACCATAAGTACGCTATCTTCGTTTTAATGGAGAGGCGTTTTTGGAAGAGTTGTAGCAAGTAAATGTGTGTTCCTTGGGTTCAAACCATGAGCGAAAATGTGGGCATAATCACTGTAACGAAGTGAGTTACGAAGAAAGGAACATTGTTCCAGTTGGCAGTAAGATCAAACTGTGATAGAAGACCTAGTTACCAGAAGTTAGGTGAAGTAATTAAAATTCTAAACACAGCTGCAGTTATTAACCTTTAATCTGACCATAATTCTTATACACCCTATTGCATTTTTTTATAAAAATGTTCTTTTCTGGAAGTGTGACTTTCTTCATTAGCTAGACGTTGGAAAGAGAAGTGAATGTTATTTTCTTGGATCTTTCTGGGAAATATATATATTTCCGGTTTAACAATGTTTATACATTTTTCCGGTCCCCAAGGTTATAATCTCTTGGGTTTTTACATTTTTTCCCCCCAATGAATGTGGAGTTGGCTCATCGCATCAACCCCCAACCTGGAGGATAGGGTATTTTTTTATTCTCATGGTTTTCTTCCTTTAATCTTTGATAATCCAATATCTCACTTCAAGGCAGTGGTTGCTACTTTTGGTCTGCCCCGGGTATTTTATTTCCTCGGTACTCACCATATCTGGTGAGCGTTCCCCTATCCGCCACCTGGGGAGGTGCCCGATGGGAGAGTAGCAACTCCACACAGGATCTTTCTGGGAAATAAAGTAATTATTCTCAGAGCGTGACTGCCAGAATTTACCATTTGGCAGGTATTAAAATACGACGGATCGGATTGAATGGGACACATTTGCTGTACTGATGTTAATTTATTGTATGCAAACATAAACAACTATATAGAGTGAACAAAACCAACAACTATTAACACTATAATGGACACTATTGCCATATGCGTTTCGACCTCAAGAGGTCATCATCAGTGGCATCAGGGAAATTAATACATATAGTCAAATGGTTCGAGCAAATTTCATAATTAAAATAAAAGGTAATTGACAAGATGACTGCACTAGATGCTGTTATTCACAGGAGTAAAAGTTTTACTTCTTCCAAAATTCTCCCCACCTTATGCCTTGCAGAACCGGTCTCTGACGGACTCTCTCTCATGTGCTGTGTCTCTGACAAACGCGGTCGTTGCCTAACACGGCCTCTGACGTGCAGTCTTCTGAAAAGCCCAATTGCGACACACACCACGGAAAGCAGAGACCGAGACGAGCAGAAACACGGTCGGCCACACCGGGTCATGCAGACGCCGGTTGACGCAGACAGCGAGGCAGCCAGCAACCGGGTAGGATAGAGGCCGAGTCCGGCTGAGACAGGCGGTGGCATTCACCGAGGCTGGCATGTATCTCTTCGCAAGATTTTGAAAAAAAAGTTGAATATTTTAAAAAAAATCGAAAAATCAAAAAATGATGGAAATTGTCTGAAAACCGCACAAAATTTTTGAAAAATTCGAAAAAAAATTGGAATGTGAAATTTTTCAAAATTTTTATGTTTTGTGCGCTTTTTGGATAATTTCTAGCATTTTTTATTTTTCGAAAATTTTCGAATTTTTCAAAATTTCTTTCACAATTCTCCCCACCAGATGCCTTGCAGAACCGGTCTCTGTCGGACTGTATCTTATGTACTGTGTCCCTTGACGAACGCGGTCTCTGTATGACACGGTCTGACATGCCGTCTATGAGAAGCCCAGGTGCTGCAGGCAACACGTAAGGCAAAGACCCGAGACTGCAGAGGCCGGTTGGTGCACACACCGAGGCAGGCAGCAACTGGGTGAGATAAAGGCCGAGTCCGACAGAGGCAGTATGAGGAATTCAGAGTTTGGCAGACATCTTTTGGGGAGAGTTTAGAAAAAAATATTCAAATTTTTCAAAATTTTATAAAAATAAAAAAATGCTTGAAATTGTCTGAAAAGTGCACAAAACCAAAATTTTTTGAAAATTTTCGAAAAAATTTTGAATGTGAAATTTTCAAATTCTATTGGTTTTGTGCGCTTTTTGGTCATTTCCAGCATTTTTTGATTTTTTTAAAATTTTGAATTTTTTCAAAATTCCACAACCTCATGCCTTGCAGAACCGGTCTCTCTCGGACTGTTGCTATTGTACTGTGTCTCTGACGAATGCGGTCTGTGCCTGTCTCGGGCTCTGCACGGACCGGTCTCTGTATGACACGGTCTGACATGCCGTCTATAAGAAGCCCAGGTGCTGCAGGCAACAAGTAAGGCAGAGACCCTCACCAGCAGAGAACGAGACCTGCAGAGGCCGTTTGGTACACACACCGAGGCAGGCAGCAACCGGGTGAGATAAAGGCCGAGTCCGACGGAGGCAGTATGAGGCATTCACAGAGTTTGGCAGGAATCTCTTGGGGAGAGTTTAGGAAAAAATATTCAAATTTTTCAAAATTTTCGAAAAATCAAAAAATGCTGGAAATTGTCTGAAAAGCGCACAAAATCAAAAATTATGAAAATTTTCCAAATTATTTTGAATGTGAAATTTTTCAAATTCTATTGGTTTTGTGCGCTTTTTGGACAATTTCCAGCGTTTTTTGATTTTTCGAAAATTTTGAAAATTTTTTCAAAATTTTCGAAAAATCAAAAAATGCTGGAAATTGTCTGAAAAGCGCACAAAATCAAAAATTATGAAAATTTTCCAAATTATTTTGAATGTGAAATTTTCAACTTCTATTGGTTTTGTGCGCTTTTTGGACAATTTCCAGCGTTTTTTGATTTTTCGAAAATTTTGAAAATTTTTTCAAAATTTTCGAAAAATCAAAAAATGCTGGAAATTGTCTGAAAAGCGCACAAAATCAAAAATTATGAAAATTTTCCAAATTATTTTGAATGTGAAATTTTCAACTTCTATTGGTTTTGTGCGCTTTTTGGACAATTTCCAGCGTTTTTTGATTTTTCGAAAATTTTGAAAATTTTTTCAAAATT